CAACTGCCCTGTGTGTCTTCAGAGAGCACACACATTCCATTTAAAATTCACCAGGAGGCATAGCATATAAAATTATGATATGCACTAAGCCAGTAATAAACAAACAATTTGAGATCATGGGGGGTTTACCATTTCTCTTTCCTTTCTTAAAATCAATTAAAAAGCAATTTTATTTCAAGAACACTGAAAGGTAATTGATACGGAATTCTACCTCTGGATGATTATGCCCACTAACAATAAAATACAAGAAAATAAGATCAAAGCTTCTTCAGAGTGATCTCTTAAAGTTTGTTCGAGACATGTTGGGCTCAGGCTTTCTCAGAGATACTGCAAACTCCATTTCTGCCATCTCTGGCTGTCCAAATAACAGTGCCAGGCTGTAAGACACAGAAATGCTTTTCCTCCAGATTGCCTCAMGATCCCAGACAGAGTTGGGGTGCTCTGCATACAGAGGAAACTGTCTCTAACATCTCTGCATAAACCACCGCGGTCCAGTGAAGGGGTGGGGACAGAGATTTATCATTCCCTGGCTTGATGTGTGTGTTCAGAGGATGCTGCCCATCCCAGAGCTGTGGCCAGGCTGGGGACACAAGCACTGGCCCAGCCAGGGGTGCAGGAGGACATGGATCTGGAGGCGTGCYGGAGGCTGTGGGCCTGCTATGCATGGCTCCTCTGGTTTGGATAGACAGCGATCTGTGTTTTAATGTTACATACATTTGTAAGGATGAGGACAAAAATTGACCAGAAATACCAAAAGGACCAGTATTTCATTAATGAGGATAGGTTTATCAACTGTCTAGACTGAAGTTAGTTTTGTATTCACACTTTAAAACTTTTAATTAAGGTTTACACTTATACTGTCTAGCCATTCCCAGGTTAGTTTTATGAAAACATTAACCTTGACATTTTGACAAGTTTTTTCCTTTCATTTAGCCTCTCATTTAAAATTGTTTTCATTGTCTGTGGTTTAGTGATTCCCTTGGTCCGCTTACACAACCAAGCCCTTTGAAGAGTGACAGCTCAGCGTGCCCAGTGCAGCTCCCAGCACAGTGTTTAATTCTCTGTTCAGGCTGAGCAGTGGAGCTCTACCTCAGTGGCACTGCACCAGCATCACACCGGGGTTTGCAGGCAGAAATGTGAAATTTGCCTCCACACCTGCACAGGGCACCTGTGACAGCAATACCCGAGTGCCTTCACAGCTTGTGGGGCCCAGGAGTCAGCAGAGGATGTGGGGCTCTCCCTCAGCTCTGTGCCTTGGCAGGATGCTCCTGCTGTCCCTCCTGCCATCACACACACACACACACACACACACACACACACACACACACACACAAACACACACAAGTCCTGAACCTTCCTGAACCTTCCAGCTTCCAGAAGAAGCTTCAGCTTCTGAATGGGAGGCCCTGAGCAGTTCCCAGTAGCTTCTGTCATGTGCTGGGACCAAGCAGGACAGCATGCAAAACGCTCTGACAATGCCACGTGTCCATTTGGAAAGTTCATATTCATCATTTTTGTATCAGGAAATGCCCCAAATCACCTAAGAACTTACTGCAGATGTACCTAAATCTTTGTGCCCCAGCTCTCTGAAGATATTTAGGCAGAAATGTATGTAGACCATGTATGTTCACAGCGGTGCAGGGCGGTGCTGTGAAAGCCATGCAGGAATGTTTCCATGGCTCACACCAACTAAATGAACCTTTAAATTTTACTGATGTACTTCTTCTGAAGAACTTTTCTCTCTGCGAAGTTTCTTTTTGGAGCTCACAGGTGATGGGTGTTAAAGGCGGCACTTTGACAGACAAGCATAGAGAGAGAAGCTGTAACATCTCTCCCCAGAGAAACAGGAGAGCACATCAGCTCTTAAAAAAGGAATAACCCTCACTTCTGCATCCCTGCATATCTTGCCGTAAGACTGCATCATGTTGGAGAATTTCCATTGCAATTCCACTGATTCAATATGAGAAACTGGTCTTTCAATTTTGCTGGAAAAATAAAAAATGAAGGGTTTTGTTGTTTGGAACAGCAGAGAAAAAGTGSTAATACAACATCATTCAGACCAAGCTCCTGTGGAAGGCAGGAAACGTTGCTGAACAAAATTGCAAGAAAACAAAAATACCTGCAGAGAATCAGGAATGTAAATAGTGTGGTTGTGTCCACCCTTTCCTGTAAAAGCTTTGTGCTTGTCCTCCTGTTTCCCTTTCAAGTATTGAGCAGCATATTTTAACTGGATAAATTGAGTGCACCCTCTGGTTCCAGTTGTAGGAGTTCAAGATGAGAGCACTGAGTCTCTTGCTCCTACCAAAGGTAACTTTTCAAGTCGAGTGTGGATCAGAAATGAAGAAAAACRGTGACATTTTACAAAGTAGGGCTGCCCAAAAATGTGAGAGATTCTGCCTCATGTAAGGCCAAGGGGAAAAGAAAGCTGGGACTGCATTTTTAATATTGTTTGGGAATCTAGGTTCCCAAGACAGGTGATGCACATCCTTGTGAGCACGAGGAAACAGTGAGGAGAGTGCGTGACCCTGTGTCACCGCTTCCCTCCTGGAGATGACGACAACATGTTTGCAGCAGGAACAGAGTCCCTGTTCCCAGGGAGGGAGAGGCAACGGGGACCTGAGGAGCCAAACACCACTTTTRCTCCTGAATAGCAAATACATCTCTCTGTTTGCATAAAGTGAACATCTGAGGATTATCTGGAAAATGATAATGGGATTTTGGTATTGGAATGAGGGTTTAGAGAACTCTGATGAAACAAGGAGTGTATAGGGCTTGACATAAAATAGGTATGGCAATGAAACTGGTAAGGGAAACACCCTTGGGAATCCTGGAATAGAAATCCTCATTGATCCCTTCTGGCACTGAGAAAGAAAAATGCAGGTCTACAGATTGACAAGAACTGTGTGAGGGAAAAAATAGATTACACTCAGGAGATAATCCCAAATCAAAAGGAGTTCAGAAGAAAGAGAAGTGTCTAAGCCTTTCTGTTTAGAACTGAACTTTACAATCATGGATGTTATTCTCTGAGGACATGACTGTATTGATTACTCCAAAAATTAAATTTAAAAGAAAAAAAAAAAGTCAGCCCTGAAGAACATATACACTGAGTTATCAATAAATTGTTTTACTTGCCATGCAAAAGAAGGAAAAGATTGCCCAAAAACTTCTTGATTAATTCTGTAGCATCCTGATGTAATGCTTTATGTCAGAAATGTAAATATTTTTCTTGAAGGAAAATATTTCTTAATCACTCCAAAGATAAGTGGTACTGATTTACCACTAACAATTTATTATTTTTTAACAGTTTATTAATATTATAGAAATCTGATCTGTTTTCTCACATTAGTTTTCTTTTCTCACTTCACCCACATTAGATTGCAAAATTTCATCCAGCAAACCATCTTTTCAATACATTTGACACTCACTGATAAGAATGTTGATTTTATTTTCGGGAATCTGACCTGGCATTTAAGTCTACAATATGTGATTCCCTTCTCTGACACAAACCTTATATTTGAATTTGAGTAGAGTGCTTAATTTTTTGGGACTCATTTTCCTTTTTTGTAAAACATGACATTTGAGACGAGAGTTCCCTAGCTTCATCCTCCTAATAACTGGAATTCTTCTCCTAGTTGGATGTGATTGTGGCAAGTTTTCTTACAATATCTTTATCTAAATGCCACTATTAAATTAAATAGTTCTTTTCTTCTCATGGTAGTTATTTCCTGGATGCCTTACAGCCTGCAATTGTCTCCTCTTTCAGTCTGTGTTTTACTGTGCAGACAAGATTTCAAACCTTCTGTCATGAGAAAATGCTCCTCTGCTTACCTCCATAAGCCCCTTCCATGCCTCTCTTTTGCTGTGAGCTTTTGTGTGAACTGTCCAGATAAGATTTCTCTCTGTTTTGTATAAGAAGTTCCAGTAATAAATTTTGCAGAAATGCTTTTCCCTTCAAAAATAAAGGAATCTTCCTGAGCCTGTTCACTTATAAAAATACATGGGACAAGGACGTGTGTTTGTGGTACCCCAACAACATGTCTGTCACTCTGTCCTTTACCACCAACACACAAGGAAGGTGCAGCTGAATAATCAGCATTTCTTGGTGCACAGCCTAAGTAAAATACAAAATTAAACAATATGGAAAAAAAAAACACCAACAAAAAAACACAAATCAAAACAGAAGTGTGTGGGAGTTGCTGTATAGCTATTATTTAATAAGAATGTTAAGCAAGAAAATGTTTGAAACCACTTTGTGGGTTGAGCATGGAYACCTTCTTTGTGTTGCTCTCCCCTCTAGCCCGGTCCACCTGCCAGTGTCCTGCTCCCCTGCAGCTGCTGGCTGCAGGAACACACTCAGTGGAGGCAAAATCAACCCACCCATGGGTCCTCRGGCTGGAAGGGGCAGCCCTTCACGGCATCCCGGCAGTGTCAAGGCCAGCACATGAAAGGAGGTTGCTGCTGCCAAGGGGAGAGCCGGGATGAAGGCTCARCTGGTGTGAAGTGCTGCCCTTGTGCAGGCTCAGGGCAGCTGTACAGCGTTGCCTCAGCTGTGTGGCTGTGCTTTGTGTCACAGAAACCAGAGGGGATGCATTTAAATGCAATTAGTGGGGCAGCCTTGATAGTTCTGGTCTGGAGCAAACTCTAGTGCCTAAGAGACAGGCACAATCCACCTGCTGCTGTGTGATATGGGACTGGGATAAAGGGGAAATGTTAGGGACAGAAGCTGTCAGATGGGGGCTTTACACATGGCTGWTACTCCTGGGATTTAAGTGGGGATGGCCTCTATTTACAAAATGCAACAGCTGTGAGTGACTGCACTCAATCTTTGTGCAAAACTCTTTTGTTAGAAAACACTGTCTAGTGATTGCTGCTTTGATTTACTTTTTTCTCTGAAGTTTATTGTGCACTTACACTTTGAGAACTGATATGGTTTAGACTTTCAGATGCTGGTATTATGTCTCCAGATTGAAGCATTTTGTTGTGTCATTCCTTGTTTTCAGTGCCAAGATAACAGTAAGAAGGGCGTCACCCATGAAGATTTCTTCATGCAGCTAAGCAAACTTTCATGGATAAAGTTCTAAACAAAAAAGGTCAGTTATACATAAGTAGTTTTGTATATGTGTAGTTTCCTGACTTAGGAGGAAGATTCTCTGTGAAATAATACAAAAAGAATTTTTTTTTTWAAGAGTTATTTGTGGAAAATACTGTATAAGGTTTTTCCTAGAGTTGTCTAGAAACAAACATACTTAAACTTAAAAAAAATATGAGATGAATGAGGTGGGGGTCTGGGATATCAAGTCTTTTGGTTTCCTTCTAACTTTAGAGGTACATGAGCTTTCTTTTWTTGGAATATTTAAAGCAGAGCTCCAAACTGGCTGCTACAAGTTACCAGTCTYCTAACATGCCTCTGTACATCTCATTTCTGTTAGAGCTCTTCCTCTTTTTGACTGTGTTTGTATCTAAGCAGTGGGTCTCCCAGGCTGGCTTTAGTGCTTTGCAGGATCTTGTGCTAATGGTTTACAAATGCCTGTGAATATCTTCATTTTTCAGAGAAGCTTGTGGGGTTGGAAWTTTGCTGCTTGGAAAGGAAGGCTCGGGTGCACACCAAAAGGCTTCTCTCTTGTGACTGTTTCAGACTGACTGGTGTCTTGATCTATATAAACATCTCACAAAAGCAATATTGAGACTATGTGTGGCTCAAGATTGCATTTTCTTAATATCCAGAATGAATATATTTTATTTGTCCCTTATGTTCCTAATTAGGGTATGGTCCAAAATGTTCCCATGGGGTTTGGATCAGGCCTAGCGATGTTTTAGGACAAACCAGGTTCTCACCCGTCAAATTAACCTGGGAATGGTTTTAGTCTGCTTTAAAGTCTCTGGTTTAAAAATATTTGCTTTTAGCCAGAAGGAAACTGGAGTTGCCTGGTTTTTTTAGGAGTGCTTTATTCCTGATAGCCTCACTTGTARTCAGATTGCTCTTCAGTACTTAGCTGCATCTTTGTGCTAATGCTGAATAAACATAAAACCCCTTTTAGAAACACAGAACAGTATTTTGCTTTCTGGATCCTACCCTGGATAAAGTTCCTGGGTACCTTGCACTCCAGAGTATCTAATACCAGTGACACTGTGTCACAAGGTGAATGTGCATGACCACAGGTAAAACAAAATTGCACTTTGTCCTTGAATATGAAAATTACTCTCCTGTGGCTGTACCTTATATAAATTATATTTCTTGGTCCTCTTCTCATGCCATCAGCTCTTTCTTGTTCCACTAACAAAATAAAGAATAAGGGTCAGAAAAAATGGATACTAAACTGCAGTTGTGGATACAAACACTCTATTTGTTTGACGTCCTCTTTTGCAGAAAGCTCTCCCCACAGAGTTAAAATTGAGGCCAAAATCTCTTAGAAAAGAGCAACTATCTTATGTCTTGGCCTATTGTTCATCTCTTTTCCAGGCCAAGCAATTCTTTGCGACTGAATTATTCACTGAGGAGCAGAATCAGCTTTATTCATCAGAGGAGCATTAGAATCCAACAGGACTGTGAATACATATTTAAAATGTTTACTAGTGTGTTTGAGGATATTCATTTAAAGCCTTTAGAGACTAAGTTGTTCATTACAACTTCAAATGAGGTTTGCCCTAACTGTTTCTTAAGTTTCCAGATGCTTGTCTTGGCTTTTTGTTCTGCCAAGAGTGCGTAGCTTTTTGTTTTGTGCTGAAGGTGTCAGAAGTGAGATGTTATCTGTGATATGAGATTAACTAATGCGGACACGGTGTATGATATTTTAGTCTTGAATTATCCATGTTGATGATGGGGAGGGGGGAATTCCACTGAATTCCACTGATGAGGGATGAAATTCCAATGCTCTTTCTGCTTAAGGATGCAGTGGCTATGGACTATTACCCTACTGTGCTTGAGAAGCATTTAATGCTATGCTGGATATCTTGCTCATTAACTCTCTTTTGTAGATATTCCACTCCTGATGCAATCAGAGATAAACAGCACTAATTCTTCCTCATGGCTATTAGCATTTCAAAATCACACTTCAGACAGTTCCTTCACATTTCCTCAAGATTTTCAGAGTCTTCCTTTGGATTGCTTCTCAGAATGGAACACAATGAAATATTTATTAAGCTTTCTGGAGAAGCTCTGGAGGCAGGATTTATTAATAGTGAAAATTCATTACTGATGCTGTTGCTCTCAACTGATAAGAGGTTTTATGCCTCTGTATGTTATATTTTTCCTTTTTAAAAGATGGCATAGCTTGCAACTGTTCACTATGCAAAATCTTTCTCTGGCTCCTGAGCTGGCAGAAGAGTGAGTGCTCTGTGTTTAGGGTTAAAGGTTGAATCTCCTGACCTGTGCCTATAAACTCATCTCTGTTTGTGTACACTAAGGCAAAACAATTTATGTAGCCTGCTATTCACATATTTCTCTCAAGGCTGCTTCTGATTGTCCAGAACTAACTTCTCTCTTGATGGCTTGCATCTTAATGCCAATGCCTCTCAGAAATACCCCCAYCCCCTCTGCTTGTGCCTCTGCCATTTATTCCCTGTGTCCCAGCACTGCAATCCATGATCCAGCACTTCCCCTGGAGCGTGGTATGACTGAGATCAGGGGTATTATGATTTTGCTGGGATGGAAAGAGAAGGGGTTTGTTAGTGCTATGATGGTGGGCAGAGCTGCACTTGTAGGAAAACTTCTAGAATGCTTTCAGAGCCTTTCTGAACTGCTAAGCTTCATTTTACATTTGAAAATGCATTTGAAGCACCTGTGGCTAAAAGGGAGGCTTTTAGAGATTAAGTAGTGCCAGCCAAACCCTTCCGGGTGATCAGAAATACTAAGTGCCATTTTAAAGGCTCCAGACTATGGGGCTCAGGGCTCAGCGTGATGTGGTAGGGATTAAGGCATTTCTGTGAAACATTCTCTGTGTAAAAGGATAGCACAGTCCTTAAACATATTGATGTTAAATCCCTTGTTTTACATTGGCAATCCTAGGTATATAATTGCATTTCAGTACAAATTGCTTGTTGCATTTAAATACAGTAAGTAAATTCCACACACAACTCAATGTTCTGCATGCAAAGCATKCTAGATCAGCGTTTCTAAAAGAGCAACTCCCAGAGCTCCATCAGCAGTGTGATCAGGCTTCTCCTTCCCCTAACCTGCAAAGAATGAGAGTGGGCAGAGACCTGATCCTTCTCAAATCCCCCTGTGTCATCTGGAGGAGAAAAAAACAGCATAATATATAATAATACTACAGGGGCMTAGGCCCAAGCCTGGTCTTCCCTTCTGATTTCTTTTGCCACAAATAATATTAGTTGCTTCTTGCTCCTAAATTGCCTTTAAAGTACACTTTCCTCCAGTGAGAAGCACAGAACCCTTTTAGAAAGCAATGCCAGCAAACCATATGTTGCCTGGTTTTCATTAAAGACACGCTTTGATGAAACCCCTCACCTTAAACCAAACCTTTTCTGTCCTGGGTGGGCTGGAAATATGTACCTAATGAATGCAGTTGCTGAAACCCAGCCCACTGTAATGTGATCAGAGTTCCTAGCACATASAATCACCACACCTCACTATCTAGTTTGTGATGGGAAATCACTTGCTAAAATGAAATGTCCTGTTGCGCCTCAAAATGGGTAATGGGTTATGGGCAAACCCATAATTAATTTCTTTGAGAGGGACCTCATTAGAGAAGCTGAGCTGTCAATAAGGTGAGTGATGGTGGGATTTGTTATCTATATGGATTACTTTTATTCCAGTTCCTTGTTCTGTCTTGATATTTGATCGCTACCTGTCTAACATTAAATTATTGTATCTGTATAGAGAGTTACTTGGAATCCAGAGATATCTGTGCTCATCCTCAGCTTTGGTGAGGGAATAAGACATCCCTTAGTAAATACCTTTGAAATTACAAAAGACCAAAGCCTTTACCTCTCATTAACGTCCAGATCTGTTTTGACTTATTTTTCTCACTTTGCCTAGATTTAATTAGAATTTTAAAGCAAGTGCAGCTTTACGGCTGTAGAAATCACTCTGAAATAWTTTCTGAACCTTGCCGTGAGTTTTGCTGCTCCTCACGGAGGCGCAGCTCGTTCCAAACTGCTGCTATAAGTCTCTTCCTTGGGCAAGCAATTATCTCTCAAAACGCTTTCACGCCGAGTGTGCACAGTAGCCGGAAGAGCCGCGTTGAATGCACAGCGAGGAGAAATCCCCCGGCTTTGGGGCTGCTCCCGGCCCCCAGGCTGGGCTCATTGGCGATTCTGGTGGGCACCGCCAGCCCAGCGGGGCCGCCCACGCCGGCAGCCGGAGAATSCGGGGAGCAGCGCTGCGGAGCTGTTCTCTCTGCTTGTTGAGCTGACGTGAGACAAGTTATTACCATATAAATGAGATAAGGTCTTAGATAGTTGCAGACTGAAAGGAAAACTGAACCGGACTGCTTGTGGCTGGAAATTTTAAGTGTACCCTTCTATCTTCAATTTTTTTTTTTTTTTTAAGGAGTCTTTTACTTTTTTTCCTCCACCCATTAGCAGAATCTATAAAATGACATAAAGCGCCCTTATGGTATCAGTTGTGACTCTTTTAGACCTGGAACTTTTCTGGTGCCTTTCATTTCTCCTCTGCTGGTTATTATAAAACCTGTATGCAAAGGTAATAAAATTGCTTTGAGGAGAATATGAATCCCTTTGATCAGTGCAGTCCTTTATCTCTAAGAAAAAGTAAAAGGAATTATCTTTGGCTGAGTCCTTCTCTGTCCCTCCTTGATAYGGCCATGCCAGATGTTGGGTTGCTCAATTTAGAAGATACTTTTGGCTCTGGGTTAGTGTTTTTGTTTTCTCTGGCATCTGTCTGCAGTGTGGYGTAACTCAGTAAAAAGTGATATTCTACTACATTAATATCTCTATTAATCTTCTCCCTCTTGAGSAGGGCCTAAAACCTCAAGGAAAGGAGGAAATATTTTCATGTGTCACCCCAAGGCATGGTACAATCTTAAGGAACCCTTTTAGTAGCCAAAAGTATTTTTTCAATTGGCAATCATCAATCAGCCTATTCTTGCAAGGGAGAAATGTCCGGTGAGAC